TTATTTGGTTTTTAAGATTTGTACTGCTTCAGTCACATGGTAAGCAAGAAGTTAGCGATATAGCCCTACCAAAACAATAAGATTAGTCATCCTTCCTTCAGCCGTAAATGCAAAATATTCTTTGATATTCAGTGACAATAACTAGGATGGGTTCTTGACGTTGCGTAACATGGTAGAGTTTTTATTTCCAACAAAAATGAAGACATAAAAATGACATTAGCACTTAAAGCATGCAAAACCCATAAATTTAACATTAGAGAAGATGAAGATTTTTCCTAGACCTTAATCAATATAAGGCAATATCTTTGAGAATACCTTAAAATACAATTTCGCCTTATGAATACTAGCTGCACCACATAGATGAACTACAAAGAGTTCTGGTTTTTTGTGAAATGTGATTTAAGGAAGACCTGGATTGCTCTGAAAGTCGCATCGTCCTTTTACCCTCTTGCGCCCAGTGATGAGTATTGAAGTTTTAACGCTGTTACTAGACCCGGCTTTGAAGCCTTTTCGGGATGAGGCAAAGTAAAGTTAACTTTAACGGAATTGAGAAGTCTTCTGCCCATCTCATTGGGGGAATCTCAGCCATTCTTTTCCCATCGCCTTAAGCGACCTAAGGTAACTAAAGTTGACAATTTTTAGAGTGAGTGTTCTACTAAACTGTTGATATTTTTCCAAAATAATAATTTAATCAGTCCAAGTCGCTGAAAGTGAATCAAGGACTGATAGCAGATATTTTCACACAATTATATAAATGGGCCTTATGAAAGCATTTAATCTCACCTAGTCTTTTTCAATAAACGTATCTTTATCCAAAGTGCATTGCGGTTTCGGCCTAGGCAAAAGGCACTCAAAGGCTGGCCAGACCTATCCTAAATCCCATTTAAAGTGGAGTTCTCAGTGAGGCGTTACAATCAACGACTTTACTTATACTTGGTATGAGAATCCTTCGAAACTAGGAACAACTCCTGAATGAAGACCATATCACCCTCGATCGTTTGAGGTGATTTAAGGACTGATAGTGCGGTTATCAAGTCCTAGAAAAATTCACTTATTCCTTTTGCTCCAAGAAAACAGGTAGCCCAATAGATGACTTTGCTGCCCATTTAATCCGCCTCCATAGCCATAGGCCAGTTACCTCAAATTATTTACCCTGCACTCCAGTCTACTTACTTTCAAAAAGAACCGAAGAACTGGATAAGATTGTTTTAGAAATCCTTTGTCCAGTGGTCGGCTCTACTACCTGGCCTGTTGCTATACACGCATATTCTCCAGAATCCTGAGGGCTTGCTTGGCGAATCACAAGAAGCGCAACGCCTGTGTCTTCCAGATACGAAATTTCCATCCTCTCTGACTGCACCAATTCGCGATCGTTCAGTTTCCAGGTCACCTGAATCGGTTGAATTTCAGCCAAAATCTGAGCCTCCATCCTAAAATTATAGAAACCATTCGCCTTTAATTATGTGTCATCAAGAACTAGGAGATAAAGAACATTTACAATGATTGTTAGCATTTTTCTGCAGTTAATCACCATGCCTTTGATGTGAGTGCGGTTTTCAGCTTAATTGTAAAATTAGTACTAAGTTTCTTTTCTCAAATGCCTTTTCTTTAGACTTGCGCTTGACATGAACTATGCATAGTTTTATGGACACAGCTATTAAAAAGATGAGTTCTTAACCCAGTCCAGTTCATCAGTAAAACACGAGCTTTCTTGATCCGTATCAAGATTTGCCGTTTTGGGGGTAAATTTAATCTTGCCATAAAGCGTACGATGAAGGGTTAACTGGAACAAGCTTAACAGAATATAGTA